ATTCTGGCTTTACTTTCAATCACTCTTGTTGTATTCATCTATCAATAAAGAGCCATTTTTCTAATGAAATGGTTTAAATATAGGAACATGCATTAGAAATGGTATTCTAGCTTGATTCAAAAACTAAATATGCTTTCCCCTTTTTACCCCTCACCAGATAGATCTACATCTAAAGCTTTCACTGAAAGCAATATATAATAAATTTATTCCTGGGTTTGAAGTGCATGTGCACTTACATTATACACTGAGAATTCACCTTCAAGTACAATCAACTTTGCTTATTCAATATTCAGTATTGAAATAAAGGACTAGTCATGCTTTTGAAGATAATTATTCAAATTAAAAATTTTCTCAGTAGATCTCCATTTATTCAAATACATATGTATATAAATTCTTAAAAATAACAACAAATTGATAAATATTTAAACTACATACCAGCCCCAGCCTGTGGGCTCCAAAGAAGATGGGCGTCCATGCCCAGTTGAGAGCCAGCTGTGTGCCGTACAAAGCCAGGGGTAAGGCTGCATCCCCCTGGAACCCCCCTCCATCCTTCCAAACCAGATAGGAAGCATACCCCATACCTCCATACAGAGCGGTCCACACGGGTCCAAACAGATAGTTAGGGGGCCGCCAGGAGGGGCGCTTGATATTCTGTTAGAGATAGTGTATTTTGTCATTATAAAGTTTACTTCTAAAATTTCAGATCTGCAGAATCTAGTGCTAATTTCAAGATATTTACATCTTATTTTTGATTGCACTAAACATCTGTATCATAAAAGAAAACAGGTACATCTAATGTCACCATGAGTATTCATGTATTGACAGTGTTGAACTTAAATACCATGTGTACTGACTCAGATATGCTCTCTTTCAAATCTAATATTGATGGGCATAATAATGATGAAGATAATACAGTCAAACCTCATTATCTCAAACTCAAAAGGACTGAGAAAAAGCTCTGAGGTAAAATGATTTACAGTTGAACTCTGATATCTTGAATACCATGGATATGTGATTATGTCTAAGTGATTTGGAAGTCCCAACCACATTTTCTTTACGTATTTTACCCTCGATATCTCGAATTCTCGGATATCTTGAAGTTTTTTCTCAGTAACATCACGTTTGAGATAACGAAGTTTGACTGTATTTAGGAATAAGGAGTCAGGACTTCTAAATCACTTTGACAAATTCATGGTATCCAAGATATACTGGGTATCAGTGTCCAAGATACAAAATTCAAATGCATTACATTAATCATATACATTAAAAACAAAGTATCTAATGTTTATATACCACACTCACTTCCCTATAATTTGGTATCATGTAAAAATAAACTAATCAGGAAAACAGAGTTTGTTGTTGTGCCTGTGATTTGGAGGAAATCAGGGGCCTGATACAGGATACAGCCACTACAAACTCTGGAATTCTAAATATGAACACGCTCAAGAAACTAACACGGTCCACGGACAACGGTAAGGAGAAATTTAGATTTATCACTGATTAAACTGTCTTGTCTGATTGGAAAAAACAAACTTAATATTATGTACATGTAGATTTAATCATATAAGTGGTGTATTTAATCATATTAGTGATGTATTGAAGAATAGTTTGGTATTAGCTTCAGGGATCTTGCTCTAGCAAATGTACTATAAAGTAAAAATTTCCTTATTTGATTCTCTGTAGCCCCCTCCTTTCTCTCTCTCTCTGACAATCTTTTTTTCTCTCTCACACAGTTTCTCTTTCAAATGACACCTTAGAATGTTATTTGTACACAGTCATTAAAATTTTGAATTTTCCCTGTTTAATATGAACATATATCATACTTTCATATAAATCAGTTGATTCCGATTCATCCAGAAAGATAAAAACACTATAACCTACTGAAACTGATGAATCCACTCCCTCAAATGTGATAGAACTTAGCCACTGGCTATCAAAATAGCTTGACATTAAGTGATATTCAAAAAAGTTGTTGATTATGCAGACTTTATGCATGCACAGTTAACTGTTTTTTTTTTTTGTTTTTTTTTTGGGGGGGGGGGGGGGTTGTAGGGGGGTGAGGGAGTGGGGGGAGGGGGGTAGTGAAAAAAATTATATGGAGCCTTGACGGTGCCTCAGTTGACAATGGTTTCCTTGGGGTGATAATTTTAAATGTTACCTTCTACTAAATACATTGATAATATAATGTTGTTTCACTTGAAAAGTTTTGGAGAATACAATGAGATAATTTTCTATGTTATCATGTAGTTATGTAAAATCATTGAACAGGAAATATTCTGTGATACTTAACAAAATTGTTCATCATCAGTGAGTTATTATCCCTTATGATAACAATGAAATTTTAGGGGGGTTGTTTAGACTATTTAAATTAGTACATGTACATGTAGATCTCACCATGATGACTTAATGACAAAATGAGATATCCTCTGAGATACAATAAATTTAAAATTATTTCAATTATCAAACTCATTCAATATTGAGAATTATTATAATATAGTCTATAAATAGCCCCTATATTAAAAGCTATATACAAACAGTTCACTGGATTTGAAGTCGTATTCACCTGGAGGGTCAGTGTGCGTGCAGCGGCATTATGACATCACAATTAACACCTCAAACAACATTGAAAACAGCTAGTGGTTTCAATGGTATGAGATAGCTGAATATATGAGCAGGAATTTTTTTTTAAGTCTATTGCAGTTATTTTAACAGTTCGGTGTCAAAGGCACATCGAGAGGTAAACATGGAAGTGTGAGCTCAGTGGTAATGAGGACATTATTTTTCTAAGACAGAAGTTCGTTAATGAAATTGGAATCCTCAGGCAGCCTTCAAATGAATATACATGTATGTAGTTAACAAACCATACTCACCATCGAAGAGTCCATAATTATTTTATTATACATAGTCAGGATTTGAATGTAAGACATCAGTTATTCATTTAAATCCTGACTATGTAATAAAACAATTATGGAATCTTTCAATGATGAGTATGGTTTGTTAACTTATTCACCATCGAAAGACTTCATAATTGTATAATGTCCCATGCAGTTGAAAATTATCACTGTATCAAAGTGGGATTTTCTGCACATCCAAAGAAAAATGATAATTAACTCAAGAAATGTTTGATTTGGTAGCTAAATATCCGAAAATGAGTTTTTATACTATTAGTTTCTTAGCACATACATATTGTCTTATTTATGTTTTATTTATTCTTATTTATATCATAGCATTTAGTGCTAAGTAGGTTAATTACTATAACAATCTATGAGGACCCCATTGGAAATAATCACATTGTTGCTTTCATGGGTCATCCTCGGGTAAATGGCTTTACTTAGTACAAAACTTATTTAGTTACCCGCCATCCTTTTTTAGAGATTCTGAATTAATTGTTCTTCTTAAGTACTTGTTTTTTATGATATAATGCTAGTGTTTTATTACAATTGTATTTTAAAGAAATTTTATGATTTCTTTGGATTCCATGTGCCAATTTTGTTCTTTTATGTCTAGCTTATGCTACATATGATATGTGCCATTTCCTGAATAAACAAACAAACAAACAAATAAATAAAGCTACTTCAGGCAATTCAATCTAAATCTAGTGATTGTACCAGACATGCTCACCTCATACCAAGTTGAAATATTTCTCCTTGATATTAGGGAACCAAAGGCTGCCCCTACATAGGGCAGTGCGATGGCTGCAGCAGGCTTCAAATACTCTGACATATCTGTAAGATGTTGAGACTATAATGTTAAACCAAAACTTTTACAAAATGATAAAAATAATGATATGTAATTGTTTAACAATTAACATGATGAACATGCAGAAGGTATGATTGTGAATTGCCAATTGGCAAATCTTAAGGAAATCAAAGCCAATGGTCAAAAATGCACAACTACAAATAATGATAGTTATCCTACTGTCCTAAACAGGTTCACAAACTATTTAAAATTGCAATATCTACAGGCTTCGAAGTTGATCGACCGGGCAATTGACGATGACCTTAAACTACTGAGTACTGTAGATTCTGCGTTTATCTAATACCAACTGTTGATATGTTCAAAAATGCTTTAAAAATTTTTTAAAAGAATTTGTTTTACTTAATGAAAAGAAAACCCCACCTGCACAACTTTGTAACCGGACAAAATCAGCTGATTTACGTAAAAGCAGGTGCTCTTTCCTCACTTCCTTTAGCAGACGAAAATGACCTTTGAACTTTTGTTACACTACTTAAACAACTTCCTGTACTACTGAAGTATTATAGTTAATTTTATTGTTCCGATTCATTAAAAAAATGCTGAATACTGATTGTATTGATGAGAATAATATCTACATTTATTTTTAAGCCAAAAAAGGAAAAGTAATCCGGAAATTAATTTTCCCATCGTACAATTTTTTTTCGATTTGATGATATAGAATATATTATAAACTTTTGGCAAAATGCTATTATTTAAGTATTTTTACAGTTAAACTTTGGGTATTGCTATTAAACATGAATTAAATTCAAAGTTATTCTATCTAAATTTCAACTGCACAATGTAAAGGACTTCTTCCGTGCCTACTGTTGTAATTAGTTGCCCCCAGAGGTAAACCGGAAACGAAAAATGGCTACCTCTCCAAATAGTACTCTGACTCCAAAAAAGAAGGAGGAGTCGTTTCTAGATAAGTTAGGAGGAACTCTGGCCAGGAAGAAGAAAGCCAAAGAAGGTTTTCAAATCATGTGTTTATATTAGTATCATAATTAGTGTGGAAACGTAATTAAAAAACAAGTTTCAAGATTTGTTTACATCTAGTTTCCTTTTCCAAATAAGGCCAAAACTTATGTTTGATTTATGCATGAATATTTCGGTTCTTTTATTGCTATGGAATCTCTGATATTGGCCATGTTGGCAGGATAATTAAATTTTTTCTACTTAACTTTCAAATGTAAGAGCAAATGTCAAACAATTGAAGTATTATCAGCCAAATAACCCGACGACAGGTTTATTTACTAAAAAGCTCATTTTAACGACCATAGAACTACTAAATTGCTAAACTCTGACTGAGGTTGTTGAAATCTTTGTAAATCAACTTAGATTTGTCAATAGTTTTCTTTGGTTTCAAAATGATTCTATTCAGAGGTTGCTCTTGAGTATCAATAAGTTGGGAAAGGTTACTGTGAATCGAGGTAAGTTTACTGATTGACTAAAAGTCATCAGTTATAAACATATCTGTATATTGAGTTGATTGGAAACTGAAGTGAGGGCGTGGATTGCCCTGATGTTGCCAGATTCTGTAAAATATTTATTTGTAACCATGACTACCTCTTCTGTGTGGGGCCTTGTAGGTATCATCACACTTGATTGGCTTGTATTTTGTAATATTAAATATTAGCAGGATCATTTAAATTCTCTTTTACTAAATACCTAGCTAAAATAATACCTCATACATATACATAGCCTATATAAAGTTAAATGAACCACACAAGAGGATGTAACCCTGAATTTAATCAACTGTTTACTACCACAGGTACTTGTGGACAGGACCCCCCCCCCCCCCCCCCCGATATTCAACCCGGGGCTCATTGTACAATTCTTCAAAAATAATATTTATTACACTTATTCATCATGTGTACAATATGAAAAAATTGTCAAAACCCCAAAACAATCACTCCCCAAAAAATACCCCACTACTATACATTATAAGGGAGAAAGGTATGCCACTCCGGTTTGAAATTTCCCTAAGTAAAAGCAACGGAAGTGCATAGAGAATGTATGATAAAACCCGAGAGAGATTATTACGTCAGTCCAAAACTCTCTCGGACGTTATCCTAATAAGTGATACATTCTCAATGCACTTCCGTTGCGATTACCTAGGGAAATTTCAACGTTCTGACTGGAAAACTGTTTAAGGAGATAATCAGATATTGTGGGATTCTTAAGAGATGTAGAGTTAATCCGACAGCATGCACTAAGACAGAAATATAAGTAGAGACGATGTGAATCGACATTTTAGGTTGAAATAAAATAAATACATGGTTTTAATCCCAGAAAGACCAGTGGGGGTACAACGTAAACAAATCGGAGTGGCATACCTTTCTCCCTTATAACAGTATAATGTATAGTAGTGGGGTATGTTTTGTGGAGCGATTGTTTTGGGGGTTTTGACGATTTTTTCATATTGTACACATCATGAATAAGTGTAATAAATATAATTTTCGAAAAAATTTCCAACAATCCCCGGGGTTGAATATCGGGGGGGGGGGGGGGGGGGGGGGTCCTGTCCACAAGTACCTGTGTTTACTACATGTCATTGTTCCTCACCTCTCCTCCTCTGTATTGTTCTCTCTTTCTCTTGAAATCAATTTTGATCAAACAGATTTAGTCAATATTGCTGCATTTATCTAGTTTTAGGTTACACTTTTTTCATATTTAGGTTACACTTTTGTTATATTTAGGTTACACATTTTTCATATTTAGGTTACACTTTTGTTATATTTAGGTTACATTTTTGTTATATTTAGGTTACACTTTTGTTATATTTAGGTTACACTTTTGTCATATTTAGGTTACCCTTTTTTCATATTTAGGTTACACTTTTGTTATATTTAGGTTACACTTTTGTTATATTTAGGTTACACATTTTTCATATTTAGGTCCTGTTGACAAGTACCTGTGTTTACTACATGTCATTGTTCCTCACCTCTCCTCCTCTGTATTGTTCTCTCTTTCTCTTGAAATCAATTTTGATCAAACAGATTTAGTCAATATTGCTGCATTTATCTAGTTTTAGGTTACACTTTTTTCATATTTAGGTTACACTTTTGTTATATTTAGGTTACACATTTTTCATATTTAGGTTACACTTTTGTTATATTTAGGTTACACTTTTGTTATATTTAGGTTACACATTTTTCATATATAGGTCACAACTTTTGTTATATTTAGGTTACACTTTTTTCATATTTAGGTTACACTTTTGTTATATTTAGGTTACACTTTTGTTATATTTAGGTTACACATTTTTCATATATAGGTCACAACTTTTGTTATATTTAGGTTACACTTTTGTTATATTTAGGTTACACTTTTGTTATATTTAGGTTACACTTTTGTTATATTTAGGTTACACTTTTGTTATATTTTGTTTCAGTGAGTGAGCTCCAGGAGGAGGGAAAACATGCGATCGAGTCTCCCACCAGCCCCACTGTCCCTGACATTGGACCTGAGGGATACACACTGGGTAAGTACCCTCCCACCAGCCCCACTGTCCCTGACATTGGACCTGAGGGATACACACTGGGTAAGTACCCTCCCACCTAGCCCCATTATACCCCCGTTTGACCTGTAATTTCTCTCTAGTCCTACACTCCCAGAAATTGAAACTTAGCTTTAAGAAAGGGAGACCTAAATACCCTGTAAACTGAAGTTTGAACAGGTTTGAAATATGAATTCTAGAGATAGCAGAATATTTTTAGATCAAAAATCACATGTTTTTTTCGAAGGATGGTTTGAGGAAAATATGTTGGTTTATGGGGATTCGATTTCATGTTAAAGAAGTGTTATTTAGTAATATATGTGATAAATATCATTTTGTGGTGGACATAATTTTGTGGGTTCTGCATGCCTTGAAAAAATTAAAAATTTACCCCCACAGAAATTAATGATTTTACTGTATTTTAGGCAGTGATTTAAATATGAAATGAATCTGTTTTAGATGAAAATGAGGAGAGATCAATGATAGAACCTCAATCCAGAGAGGACCCCAAAGTTAAAGAACTGATAAAGGTAAGAGAATTCCCTTTCTGGCTGAAGAAGAAAGTAAATCAAAAGAAGTTTTTTTTATGTTTATTCTCACTCATTCGGTCACCCTTCGATGACCTACGACATGTCCACACCAGTTCTTCCTATCAGTCATCAGGGAAGCTAGTTCTATTGTATCCCTTGCATCTGTGTCATGTTTGAGTTTGTCCAAAAAGGTGCCCTTTGTATTCCTCTTCCATGATGTCCGTGATTTGGCTCCCACAGTACCAATGGCTGTGCGCTGAGCTCTGGATGATGAAAGCAATGCCCAGCTAGCTTCATTCTCCTGGAGGCTATTTTGTCACTGGCCTTAGGGAGGTTACCATATAGGAGTGGCTTGACTAGTAAATGTCTAGAACCTTACGAAGCATGCATGTATAGGTTCCATCTAGTGACTTCTCCAGGGCTACTGCTACAGTCCAGCTTTTCTTTAACACAAATTGATTGTAGATGAGCTCTGTAATCTCTGATAATGTATGTTTATACCTTATAGATGTCAGTTAATATTTATATATTGTAGATGTTATTATACTGGATTACTTGTAATCTTTATTCATCGTACATGTCAGTTAATCTTTATACATTGTACATGTCAATTAATCTTAATACATTGTACATGTCAGTTAATCTTAATACATCGTACATGTCAGTTAATCTTTATACATTGTTGATTTCAGTTAATCTTTATACATTGTACATGTCAGTTAATCTTTATACGTTGTACATGTCAATTAATCTTAATACATTGTACATGTCAGTTAATCTAATACATTGTACATGTCAGTTAATCTTTATACATTGTACATGTTGTAGATGTTGCTGTACTGGATCAGTTAAACTTTATACATTGTACATGTCAGTTAATCTTAATACATTGTACATGTCAATTAATCTTAATACATTGTACATGTCAGTTAATCTTAATACATTGTACATGTCAGTTAATCTTTATACATTGTACATGTTGTAGATGTTGCTGTACTGGATCAGTTAAACTTTATACATTGTACATGTCAGTTAATCTTAATACATTGTACATGTCAATTAATCTTAATACATTGTACATGTCAGTTAATCTTAATACATTGTACATGTCAGTTAATCTTTATACATTGTACATGTTGTAGATGTTGCTGTACTGGATCAGTTAAACTTTATACATTGTACATGTCAGTTAATCTTAATACATTGTACATGTCAGTTAATCTTTATACATTGTACATGTCAGTTAATCTTTATACATTGTACATGTTGCAGATGTTGCTGGACTGGATCAATGATGTTCTAGCTGATGACCGTATCATTGTGAAGGACATTGAGGAAGATTTGTTTGATGGACAGATTCTTCAGAAGTTGATTGGTAAGTACATGTTATTATATAGGAAGCCAAGGAACGATAAAAGTCAAGGGTGAAGGTTCTTTATTGGGAAACTCAGCAAAATAAAAAGAATTTTGATATATACCTTTATCAGACACCAGGCAGGACTGTCACAGACTGACATAATCAGGTCAGGAAGGATGATCAGTACAATAAAGAAAGGAATTTTGATGATTTAGCTTCTAGCATATTATACTCCCTATATATTACACTCACTGCATATTACACTCCTTATATATTACACTCACTGCATATCACACTCCCAGCCTATTACACCTTATCTTTTTACTCCCTACCTTGTATATTAATATTGAGAATAGTAGGAATGTTTACAATGAAAGCAAACATCTTTGGCTGCCACACAAATGTGTAATTGGTGCTTTACCTAATTACTGATCAATTTCTAGTTTGATTCTTACTTCAAAATTCATTCAACTCAAGAGTTTTCTCCCTTTGCAGAGAAGCTGGCGGGGTTAAGGGTCGAAGTTCCAGAGGTCACACAGTCTGAGCAGGGTCAGAAACAAAAACTACAGATCATCTTAACGGTCATCAACAGAATTCTACATCAGAGCCCGCCCTGGACCCAGAGTAAATGGAGCGTAGATAGTAAGTTATTTACATAATCATCCAGAGTAAATGGAGCGTAGATAGTAAGTTATTTATAGAATCACCCAGAGTAAATGGAGCGTAGATAGTAAGTTATTTATAGAATCACCCAGAGTAAATGGAGCGTAGATAGTAAGTTATTTATAGAGTCACCCAGAGTAAATAGAGCGCAGATAGTAAGTTATTTATAGATCCACCCAGAGTAAATGGAGCATAGATAGTTATTTATAGATCCACCCAGAGTAAATGGAGCATAGATAGTAAGTTATTTATATATCCACCCAGAGTAAATGGACCGTAAATAGTGAGTTATTTGTAGATCCACCCAGAGTAAATGGAGCGTAGATAGTAAGTTATTTATCTATCCACCCAGAGTAAATGGAGCGTAAATAGTAAGTTATTTATATATCCACCCAGAGTAAATGGAGCGTACATAGCAAGTTGTTTATAAATAATAATTGAATTTTAAAGAGATGCAAATTTAGCCATATATCCTAAAAATTGTTATTAAGTTTTTGGCTACTGGTATATGTAATTTTAGTAATTTTAAAATGTCAATAAGAGAAGTAATTACTACAGATACACAATTTATTGTTAGCGATATTCAATTTTAACAATCTCAACACCCTTGCTTATAATGCCAATATTGCTTAAAATTCTGCTTTTATGATATTGATTCACTCAAAATTCATCCAGAAGTCCGATATGGATTATGATTGACTTTGCAATAATTATTGATTTATATTTTACCCTGTGGTCAATTGGGAATCTAAAAATGAAATTTTCTACAGCATCTAGTTTTCTAAGTAAAAATCACAATCACTCAATTGTAGGTAAAGTTTGTTTGAAAATCTTACTGATTTGTATTTTGTTATTGAAATTGTTTAATTTATGTAGTATATGATTCAGGCATTGGGTGAATGATAAGCCAAGAGGTCATGTTCCTGAGAGTTTTACATCAAATGAGTTCTATTATTTTAGGTGTTCACTCAAAAAACTTGGTGGCCATTCTCCATCTCCTGGTTGCCTTGGCGAGACATTTCCGAGCACCAATCAGATTGCCAGAAAATGTCTCCGTGAATTTAGTTGTTGTCACGGTAAGTGAAAGAAGTCCTTGTAATATTTAAATAAAATATGAAAACAAAGATTGTACCGGTAGTATTCCATTTGTTTTTTACCATAATGGTAATATAATAAAGAGATCTAGGGTGTATCACAGTATTTTAGATTTCTATTTTTGGAAATTTTGTTTCCGATTGTGTAATAAAATGACGTCCAGGTAATCCTATTTTTGAATTGAACAGAAAAGAGATGGAATGTTACAGCCACGAAGGGTCGCTGAAGACATCACCACTGTTAACGAGTAAGTCTTCACAGATTAAAATCGGGGTAAAATATTATGGGTTTTTTTAATGGCCAGTAACAAAGTGAGACAACTTTTCCTTTTTATCCATACATTTTTTTTTCTTCGGACTGCAGTAAACTATACTTGTTTATATTCAGTTCAGTATTATTTCCTCACTTTTAATATAAAAAAAATTAAAATAATTACTGCCTTTTGGGTATTGCACTTGAGGAGTGTGCTTACAATAGAAGTGGACATTTGACTGTATATTGTAAAATCAGATACATTTCCGTGGGGTCAGATTTTCGTGGTTTGAGGAAAAAAAAAAATGGTTTGTAGGGATTTGATTTCGTTGATGAAGATCTTTTTAGTAGTTGTACATATGAAAATAAACATTTTATGGTGGTCATAATTTGTGGGTTTCTTCATACCACGAAAACAACGAAAATTAAACCCCCACGAAAAATAGTGATTTCTTAGTATGTGTTCATCTCTCTTTCAGAGACATAGGAGCTAGATTTGGTGAGTCTTCCATTCTTTGTTCTGTTGATATCTGAAAGTAGAATGAGGCTTACAATAACAGCTGTCTCTTCAATTTGATTTCATTACAAGTACAACAGAATCAAAATTCTCTGTGGAGGAAAACCTTTTATATACCACTAGCCGTGTATAATACATTTTAAGCGCCTTGTCTTTTCAGAGAGAGATGCCTTTGACACACTGTTTGATCATGCTCCAGACAAACTGAATCTCGTCAAAAAGGTCAGATTTCTATTTCTAATTTTTTTCTCTCTGTGATAACTCTTTGAAAGTTAGTGGAGTTGATTTCTTGATAATTCTACCAGAATGTAGATTAGGCAGATTGAAAGGTCAGGAGCTAAGGAGGCCTAATATGCATGCAAAAACAAATAAATAAATATTTTCTGGACTTTATAATATGTACCTAAAGACCGGTATTTAGGTCTCTCTATCATGATACATATCATGCAACAAAATATCACGATATACCGGTATACCAAGTAAATAACACATCTCTATTTATTTTTTATATATTTTATTAACATATATTTATTCAAAGGTAAATTTACATATTTTAGATTTGAACATTGGTTTATTTTCTTTCCAGACATTGGTGACTTTTGTGAACAAACAGTTGATGAAAATTAATTTAGAGGTCACGGATATCGAATCTCAGGTAAAAAAAAAACAACAACAGATATATGTTATCAGTCTTCAACAAATCCCGGGAGTCCGATGCCCGGGACCTGGTAAAATTCGAATCGAGCATGTAGAAATTGTACACTTACAAGCCCGAAGGGCATGTTAATTCTAAGGCATAAGCCTCGGTATAATAAATTCAAATAAGACCAATAACATTAAATGTATTTTTTAAAGTCTTTGATTTTCCTTCTAAGTGAAATAAAAAAAAACAAAATTTTACCGACATCTTATTTTACCGCGATTTCCAAGGAACTCTTCTGCAAAAGAGACACAAAAAGTGTACAGGTTGAAAACAAATGGCGAGACAAGAAATTGACAAAATCGATTTTCAGATTATTTCCTTGGCATGAAAAGGCAAATAAGAATAAAATAACTTGATAAAATTCTGGGCATGTAAATATTTGTTCGGGCTTGCGTAATTGGTGATCACACCTGCCCGAAGGGCATGTGCTGAGAAAAAGATTTGGCGAAGACTGTGTTATAATTATACAGTATGTATTTAATTTCTATTATCATAAATCAAGGTAAAGTACTTTGCTGAAAATTGATTTTTAACACAAATTTTCAGTATTATGCAGTTTTTACAGATTTGACGTAAAGGGAAGTAACTCTTTTATCCTTGTTGTGACGTGGGTTACCTGTGTTATTTTTGTTTACAGTTTCACGATGGCAGCCACCTGGTCCTGTTAACTGTGTTATTTTTGTTGACAATTTCACGACGGATTCCACCTGGTTCTATTAACTGTGTTGTTTTTTGTTTACAGTTTCACGACGGCGTCCACCTGGTTCTGTTAATGGGGCTCCTTGAAGGGTACTTTGTTCCTCTGTACGACTTTCATCTCACACCTGTTGACTTTGATCAAAAGGTAAAGGTCATTCTTGGCTTAATTTATTATCGGTAACTGTATGTGATTTAACTGGGCAATAGTTTATTGTAAGGTACCAACAAATCTAGAACAGCTTGAGAATTAAAGCTTTAATTAAACTTGACAGTGTGTAATAGGAAGTTTTTCCAGTAAGTATATAACTTGATGTCTGAGAAAAATTGCTTGCTGGACAAAATAAATGTTCAACTTAATTAGGGCCCCGCAAGGATTTGCGGGTGCCCTATAGTAATCACTCTGTCTGTCCGTCCATCTGTCTGTCTGTCTGTCTGTCTGTCTGTCTGTCCGTCTGTCACTCTTCCGTCCACAAATTTTCTGTTTTTTTCTAATAACTTTTTAGCTCACCTGAGCCAAAGGCTCAAGTGAGCTTTTCTGATCAAAATTTGTCCGTTGTCTGTTGTCGTCGTGAAATTTTCACATTTTCATCTTCTTTTCAAGAACCACTGGGCCAATTTCAACCAAACTTGCTACAAAGTATCCTTGGGTGAAGGGGATTCAAGTTTGTTCAAATGAAGGGCCACACCCTTTTCCAAGGGGAGATAATTATGAATTAGAGAAAAATTAATGGCATTTTTAAAAAATCTTCTTCTCAAGAACCACTGGGCCAGGAAAGATGAAACTTTTGTGGAATCATCCTCAGGTAGTGTAAATTCAAGTTTGTTCAAATCATGACCCCCGGGGGTAGGGCGGGGTCAAAATGGCCGATCAAAGTTTTACATAGGAATATATAGGAAAATTCTTTAAAAAATCTTCTTCTTAATAACCACTGGACCAGGAAAGATGAAACTCATATGGAATCATCCTCAGGTAGTGTAGATTCAAGTTTGTTCAAATCATGACCCCCGGGGGTAGGGCGGGGCCAAAATGGCGGATCAAAGTTTTACATAGGAATATATAGGAAAATTCTTTAAAAAAATCATTTTCTTAATAACCACTGGGCCAGGAAAGATGAAACTCATGTGGAATCATCCTCAGGTAGTGTAGATTCAAGTTTGTTCAAATCATGACCCCCTGGGGTAGGGCGGGGCCAAAATGGCCGACCCTAGTTTTACATAGGAATATATACGAAAATTCTTTAAAAATCTTCTTCTCAAGAACCACTGGGCCAGGAAAGATGAAACTCGTATGGAATCATCCTCAGGTAGTGTAGATTCAAGTTTGTTCAAATCATTACCCCTGGGGCTAGGGTAGGGCCAAAATGGCGGATCAAAGTTTTACATAGGAATATATAGGAAAAATCTTTAAAAATCTTCTTCTCCAGAACCACTGGGCCAGGAAAGATGAAACTCATGTGAAATTATCCTCAGGTAGTGTAGATTCAAGTTTGTTCAAATCATGACCCCTGGGGCAAGGGTAGGGCCAAAATGGCGGATCAAAGTTTTACATAGGAATATATAGGGAAACCTTTTAAAATCCTCTTTTCAAGTACACCAAATTCATGCTTAGTGATATTTATATGGAATCATCCTCAGGTAGTGTAGATTCTAGTTTGTACGAGCCATGACCCCCTGGGGGTTAAAATTCAAGACCCCCCCCCCCAACTTAGTAAACTTTCAGTTCTGATCTGATATGTGCTTTCTCTTAGCAAATTGCTCAGGTGAGCGATGTGGCCCCTGGGCCTCTTGTTTTATAGTTGCCCAATCAAGTTCAAATTTGGTATGGTAGTTCAGTAGGCAGAAATACATATTTTGATGCTAAGTTTGCTTCTCTATGTCTTCTGGTTTGGAGCTGGGGTGGTGGGGTAGATTCCTTAACTATGCATAAGAATGAATGGGCAACTTTTTTTATGGTTGCCCAATCAAGTACAAATTTGGTATGGTAGTTCAGTAGGCAGAAATACATATTTTGATGCTAAGTTTGGTTCTCTATGTCCCCTGGTTTGGAGCTGGGGTGGTGAGGTAGATTCCTTAACTTTATATACAAAAGCAGTGGCAAAGAGAGATAACTGCTGAAGATGTTGCCATTGTAAACTGAATGCTTCTATAAGTCCCTTGGGATTAATTAGCTTTCCTCCTGAAGAAAATCCAGATCATTATCTTTATCTGTCAAATTGAGATGAATTACCACCTCTCTCTGCAAATGAAGTTTGTTTTGAAGTTAAGTCAATTTGAAATGCTATGAACACTCTGAAATGTGGATTTAAATATAAATATTTATAATTTATTTTTGTTTAAAAGTTATGATTTCTTTGAATTCTACTAACAAGAAATAGATTAAAGAAGATTTTTTGATTTACTTTTTTCACTTTATGTTAATTCAAGAATATTATTAATTTTTAGGATAGTTGTATAAAAACACCATTTTATCATTAATACTGAAAAAGTTCTTATTGTAACTTAAGAAGAAAATGATGAGAGAGGTACAATTAATCCCTTAGGATTAATTATATAGCCTGCTGCAGAAAATTCAGTAGGCTTATCTTTATCTGTCACTTTAAGATTAATGAAACTTATAGACCCTTTGTAGTGGCCTTATAATGGTAAAGTTATGACTTTCTTTACTAAAGGCCCTGACATACAAGTAAACTTATAGGCCATTTGTAGTGGCCTTATGATGGTATAGTGATGACTTTCTTTACTGGAGACCCTGACATACAAGTAAACTTATAGACCCTTTGTAGTGGCCTTATAATGGTATAGTTATGACTTTCTTCACTAGAGGCCCTGACATACAAGTAAACTTATAGACCCTTTGAAGTGGCCTTATAATGGTAAAGTTATGACTTTCATTACTAGAGGCCCTGACATACAAGTAAACTTATAGGCCAGTTGTAATGGCCTTATGATGGTATAGTGATGACTTTCTTTACTGGAGACCCTGACATACAAGTAAACTTATAGAACCTTTATAGAGGCCTTATGATGGTATAGTTATGACTTTCTTTACTAGAGACCCTGTCATACAAGTAAACTTATAGACCCTTTGAAGTGATTTTATAATGGTAAAGTTATGACTTTCTTTACTAGAGGCCATATAATGGTATAGTTATGACTTTCTTTCCTAGTGGCCCTGTCATACAAGTAAACTTATAGACCCTTTGTAGAGGCCTTATAATGGTATAGTTACGACTTTCTTTACTAGTGGCCCTGTCATACAAGTAAACTTATAGACCCTTTGTAGAGGTCTTATAATGGTATAGTGATGACTTTCTTTACTGGAGACCTTGACATACAAGTAAACTTATAGACCCTTTGTAGAGGCCTTATAATGGTATAGTTATGACTTTCTTTACTAGTGGCCTTATAATGGTATAGTTATGACTTTCTTTACTAGAGACCCTGTCATACAAGTAAACTTATAGACCCTTTGTAGTGGCCTTATAATGGTATAATTATGACTTTCTTTACTAGAGGCCTAGTTATAATGGTATAGTTACGACTTTCTTTACTAGAGGCCTTATAATGGTATAGTTACGAATTTCTTTACTAGAGGCCTTAAAATGGTATAGTTATGACTTTCTTTACTAGTGGCCTAATAATGGTAAAGTGATGACTTTTTTTACTAGTGGCCCTGACATACAAGTAAACTTATAGGCCCTTTGTAGAGGCCTTATAATGGTAAAGTCATGACTTTCTTTACTAGAGGCCTTATAATGGTATAGTTATGACTTTCTTTACTAGTGGCCTTATAATGGTATAGTTACGACTTTCTTTACTAGTGGCCCTGTCATACAAGTAAACTTATAGACCCTTTGTAGAGGCCTTATAATGGTATAGTTACGACTTTCTTTACTAGTGGCCCTGTCATACAAGTAAACTTATAGACCCTTTGTAGAGGTCTTATAATGGTATAGTGATGACTTTCTTTACTGGAGACCTTGACATACAAGTAAACTTATAGACCCTTTGTAGAGGCCTTATAATGGTATAGTTATGACTTTCTTTACTAGTGGCCTTATAATGGTATAGTTATGACTTTCTTTACTAGTGGCCTTATAATGGTATAGTTATGACTTTCTTTACTAGTGGCCCTGTCATACAAGTAAACTTATAGACCCTTTGTAGAGGCCTTATGATGGTATAGTGATGACTTTCTTTACTAGTGGCCTTATAATGGTATAGTTACGACTTTCTTTACTAGTGGCCCTGACATAAAAGTAAACTTATAGACCCTTTGTAGAGGCCTTATAATGGTAAACTCATGAGTTTCTTTAATAGAGGCCTTATAATGGTATAGTTATGACTTTCTTTACTGGATACCCTGACATACAAGTAAACTTATAGACCCTTTGTAGAGGCCTTATGATGGTATAGTGATGACTTTCTTTACTAGAGGCCTTATAATGGCATAGTTATGACTTTCTTTACTAGAGGCCTTATAATGGTATAGTTATGATTATCATACAGGAACTATTCTGTTAAAATGTTTCCTATATAAAGTTAAATAGGTAAAATAACAATTTTTCATATTCTTAAAATTTCCACACATAGAAAGTTATGCCACGGGGTATAGTTTTTGCTATCCATCCCTCGGAAACTTTTCTTGCAAAGATGTATTTTGTATGTACTAGTGGTTTACTGTAAGATGACATCAGTGAATATTGATTGACTGAGAGGGGAAGTTTAGCGAACTAATCCAGATGTTGATAGAATTACTAAATATGGTGTGCTCTGAATACTATACCTGTCTTATGTTGGGCCAGATTGGTTTAGGTGATGAATAATTACTAAGATGCACTTTTAAATGAGAAATCTGATGACAACATTTGACAGGTGGTTTTCGCTGGTTTTCCCCCTGGGAGCCCCTATCTTCAGTTACCATTAGATATTTATTACAGAGTCTATGAAAAAAGCTAGGTTTTTCATCTTATCAGCACTCAAGCTGAATCAAAACTAATTTGTTTAAAGCTGTTTTCATTTGAGCTTTCAAATCTCTGTAATGAAGTTAATTTTACAACTTGTGTTTCTAGGGTTATTTTTAGCTTATGTTTCTAAACAAACCACAGGTTGTACCTTGTGGGGGGATGAAGTTAATGATACTTC